GAAATTTTAGTCCCCCCCCCCCCCCCCCCCCCCCCCTACCCCCAAAAATTTCAAGTGCCCCCTCGGAGAAAAAAGTCTGGAAGAAACACAGATTGTAACAACCCGGTTGATTATGTTTGTTTCTAGAATCTTCACTTTGCCTTATAATGTTGTACACTGTCACAGTCATTCTGTTTAATTATATTTGAATAATTATCTCCTCGTTAATAACCCATCTTGAAATTTTTATTGAAATATTTGTTTAAGCGCTGTAACGTAACATTATCAGTTTGTTTAATCTCTCGATGGTTACATTCCTGTGCGAGTTTCACCGCTAAACTAAACAGAAACCACTTAAGCACTCAATAAAAGGAATTTAAAAAAAAATCTAAACTAATTGACTTTTACGTAAATGAAAAGGACGCTAATGGTTTCAATTAGTCATATCATTTTTTTAAATAATATATTTTCACAGAGTTTTAAAAACGTAAACAAATATATCACATTTCGTCGAGGTTTTAAAATTCCATATTTTAAAAAAACATTTTGAAGTATTGATCCATTACATTTTTAAAAAAAAAGTAACCGTTAGTTAAGGATTTTAAAACAATAATGATAGGTCATATTTTGTCTGGACCCTCCCCGTCTAGACACCAGTTTTTTTTAAAGTTTGACAAAATGTGACAGTCTAAGCCAAGGTAGCAATTATTTCCAGCCGGGGTATAGCGAGGTAAACAACCCCCCATCCCATAGAACAAAACCAGACCCCCACCCCATAGAACAAAACCAGACCCCCCACCCCATAGAACAAAACCAGACCCCCCACCCCTACCCCATAGAACAAAACCAGACCCCCACCCCCACCCCATAGAACAAAAACCAGACCCCCCCACCCCCATAGAACAAAACCAGACCCCCCACCCCCACCCCCTGGTAGAACAAAACCAGACCCCCACCCCCACCCCATAGAACAAAACCAGGACCCCCCCACCCCATAGAACAAAACCAGACCCCCCACCCCCACCCCTTAGAACAAAACCAGACCCCCACCCCCACCCCATAGAACAAAAACCAGACCCCCCCACCCCATAGAACAAAACCAGACCCCCACCCCCACCCCTTGTAGAACAAAAACCAGACCCCCCACCCCCACCCCATAGAAACAAAACCAGACACCCACCCCCACCCAATAGAACAAAAACCAGACCCCCACCCCCACCCCCATAGAACAAAACCAGAACCCCCCTTAGAACAAAACCAGACCCCCCCACCCCCACCCCATAGAACAAAACCAGACCCCCCCATAGAACAAAACCCAGACCCCCACCCCCCACCCCTTAGAACAAAACCAGACCCCCCACCCCCACCCCCATAGAACAAAACCAGACACCCACCCCCCACCCAATAGAACAAAACCAGACCCCCCACCCCCACCCCATAGAACAAAACCAGGGACCCCCCTTAGAACAAAACCAGAACCCCACCCCCCACCCCATAGAACAAAACCAGACCCCCCCCATAGAACAAAACCAGACCCCCACCCCCCCACCCCATAGAACAAAACCAGACCCCCCCACCCCATAGAACAAAACCAGACCCCCCCCCACCCCATAGAACAAAACCAGACCCCCCCCCCACCCCATAGAACAAAACCAGACCCCCCCCCCCCCACCCCATAGAACAAAACCAGACCCCCCACCCCCATAGAACAAAACCAGGACCCCCCCCACCCCATGGAACAAAACCAGACCCCCCCCCACCCCATAGAACAAAAACCAGACCCCCCCACCCCATAGAACAAAACCAGACCCCCCCCCCCCCCACAGAACAAAACCAGACCCCCCCCACCCCATAGAACAAAACCAGGACCCCCCCACCCCATAGAACCAAAAACCAGACACCCCCCCCCCCCCCCCCCCCCCTTAGAACAAAACCAGAACCCCTCCCCCCCTCCTAGAACAAAAACCAGTCCAACGAGGTAAATCAACTGGTTGGCTAACACGTCATTACAGTCAGAGACAGACACACAGGCGGAGACTTAGCAGTCAGATGGACCTCGAGCTGACTTAGCAATCATATGGGACCCCGAGCTGACTTAAAAGGTCATATGGCACTCGGATGACTTAGCAGCCAAATGGGACCCCAGCTGACTTAAAGTTATATGATTCCCAGCTGACTTAACAGTCATAGAACCCCCAGATGACTTAGCAGCAGGGGCGTCGCGAGGGGGGGGGGGGGGGGCGGGGGGGGGGGGGGTGCGGACCGCACCGGGGTGACACCATTTAGGGGGGTGACACCAAGGCAAAACATAGCAAAATATATAAAGAAAAACTTGAGGGGGGGGGTGCAAATCGAAAGTTTGAGGGGGGGGGGGGGGGTGGTGCAAATCGAAAGTTTGAGGGGGGGGGGGGGGGTACAAAATCTAAAACTTGAGTGGGGGTGTGCAAATCGAAAGTTTGAGGGGGGGGGGGTTGCAAATCGAAAACTTGAAAAGTTTGTCCCCGGGAAGGGTCGCTACGCCTCTGGGGGGTGACACCATTAAGTGCCGCACCGGGTGACACCCGACCTCGCTACGCCACTGCTTAGCAGTCATATGGAGTCGCAGCTAACTTTGAGGCCTACTTGGTACCCCAGCTGACTTAGGTCAAATGGACCCCCCAGCTGACTTAGCAGTCAAATTGGCCCCAAATCTCCATCAAATAGTGAACAGCTCTCCGTTGCTCCTTACATGAGTACAAATGTCCATGGTCGGTACAATGACATCAAGTCAAAGACTGGGAAACAAACTAAATGTATGAGACGTTGACGTGAAAACAGTTCACTTCACTTGAACGGAGAGAAAACTCCAAAAGTCTTGAGTTCGGACTTCCGGGCAGATGAGTCTCGTTTGCTGGGGGACAGCCACCCATCTAGAAGAGAAAACTCCAAAAATCAAACAACTGCTGCCTTGTAGTTTGTTCTTAGATGGATAGAAGGTTATGGAAGCAAATCTAGAAAGAAAAGCAGGCTGAAATCGGAGCCAAGGAACTCTATGGCGCATAACATACTAAAATGTGTTGGAGAGAATTCAGTTAAGAAAGAAGAAGAAGAATTTAGTAGGTAAAATAGAAAATAGCAGGGCAAGAGATTAATATGGTGGTGGTTGTGGTGGTGGTGGAAGGGGGAGGGGAATGGTCGAGGTCTTTCCTTTGTTCTATGATTTACTTGCAGATTCTATAAAAACCTATGTATTAGGATGAACGTTTATGTTTACAAATACATAAAAAAGCAACAACTAGATTTAGTTTTTTTTCAAGGGCCGTAATCGCTGGGTGTAAACAGCCCGTAGTTTGCTTATATTGGCTTGTATCCTGTACAAACATTTGCTCTACCCTATAGAAACAATTGCTCGTATTGAATACAAACACGTGCGTAGATCTGATACAAGTGCCAGCTACTTTCCTGTGCAAATAATTGTTTCCGTTCTACACAAACATGACACTCTAAGTTATCGATATTTCGCAAGCATCATTAAAAAAACCATTTTAATTGTTTTTAAAAACAATTGACTTTTCGGTGCGCCATACTTCAGACTCACGGCTTAGACTTGGACTCTCCCGGAATGTCACCAGCGCGCATGTCATCAGATGACAGCATGCTGTAAATTGACACGGACAGGTAAGATGTCATTAGGGTTTGACCATGCCTGCCTTAAATGTGGAGTGAAAACGTGTCGTGGTAGCATCTGAAAGCGGCCGGTTATCCCCCCCCCCCCAACTCCCTCCCCCCACGATCGATGCAGCGCGCGACAATCCCCCCTCACGCGTCGCGACTCTATGCGAGCATATAGCGCGCGTGCTTCAAAGCGGATGGGACCCGGGCTAGGAAGTTGTTAACTGACACAGATTCTGGTCTACTCTCACATAGATTCTGGTTCTATTCTGACGAGAGTACATCCGGTGTAGAGTGAAAACGTATCCGCTCTGTTGTGACATAGATTTCTTTTGAACTCCGATGGGAAAAAAAAATATTGTGTTTGTATTTTAAAAATTCGTAACTTGTTTGAAAACTGATCGGTTTTTCTAATGAAGGATGGCTTATGTTCGTAAATATTCTTAAGTTAAATACTAGACGTGGCAATGTAAGCAAGGAATTAAAAAACAGAAATATTGTGTGAATAATTGAAGAGATAAACCATTTTAATTAGTATTGATTGCTTGCGCGATGCGCATCTAGGCTGTGAATGGAAGCTTCATACATTGTCATGTGTTGACAGATTTTTAATTTTTTTTTGGTTGATTTCGTGGATGGAGGATCGACGCCAGGGTATGGCTAGTCCGCAAGCCGCCTCCCCCACCACCCCCATCTTCTCATTCGCCACCTTACGCCGCTGCGCCACCATGGACAACGACGAGAAATCCGTGTCCTCGGAGCACAGGACCTCGTCCTCTATGTCCTCCCTGCACTCCAACACCTACCCTCCTCCGGGGAACACCCTCCCCACCTCCGCCGGAATTTTCGGCAGCGCGGACAAACTCCGACATGGGTTGGTTCATCTCCTCCACTCCAAACTTCTCGGAAAATCCACCGCGGATTCAAAACCTTCCTCCGCCTCTTCCTCCACCTCCTCCTCCCACTCCACCTCCCCGAAAACCACACCCACCGACACTCCTTCCGGAACATTCCCGCAACTTCCGAACCTCCCTGGACGAAAGTCTGCGACACCCAAGGAGCGACCGGTGTTCAGACGTTACCTGTCCCTCATTGTTTTCCCTTCCAGCCTCCAGCAGATCCCCTTCACCGTGCCAGCCTCCCCACACAGCGCCGGTGCCAGGAGTGCTTTGAAGAAAGCCGAGTACCACTCGTTGGATGACCCAACGGCCAAGTCCGAGCCTGGCTCTCCCACGGGAAAACGGCCGTCTGTTGAGATACCAGGTAGGGGCTCTCTCCAAATGCTCTTGTTGATATATTTCACTTTATATATATATATATATATATATATAAGCAATTTATATATATATATATATATATATATATATATATATATATATATATATATATATATATATAAGCAATTTATATATAAAAGCTATTTATATATAAGCTATTTATATATAAGATACATATATATATATATATATATATATATATATATATATATATATATATATATATATGTATATATATATATATATATATATATATATATATATATATATATATATATATATATATATATATATATATATATATATATATATACACTCAAAAATATATTACATGTTTATTTAACTTTAAATTAATAAAATACTCCCCGCCTTCTATTTCCCAAAACTCCTTTTCGTAAAAACAACATTGAAACAAAGTTATAGAAAATAACAATACAAGAACACACCAAAACATAAACCAACAGTTTGTAAAATGTAAGAAAATTTGTTTCCAAAATACTCCGCCGTTTGAATGCTCTCTATAACATCAACAATGTTTCCATAGAAACCTTGCAACGTTGTTTATTCAACACTTCACTGTCCATACACAGATTCCTACACAATACATAGCCGAGTTGTGAACACAACTCACGTTTTCATAAGCTGGCCCTTTTAATGAAGGGATTAGTATATTTCTGAGAGCCGACAAACCCTTAAAAAAACTAGTTTGAAGAGGAGCTCTGTAGCATAACTCGGTGAATAATTGTTGTCACGAGAGGGCGGGTTATTGGACTGACCATTAAAGGGGAAGTAACTCCCAGTGATAGAGTGGCTAGAAACGAGAAAATAATTGTCTACATACTGACATCGAAAGGAGGAAAAAAAACGATGTAAAGGTCGTCCTTGAAATAGGTCTCAAGTATGAGAGTAGGGTGATTATTTTTAAATAAAGCGTGAGTGATCTCCCCTAAATTTTCTCGTATATGGTCATATAACAGTAAGGTGGGGGAGGGGGTGGTGGCAAATTAAATGATTTTATTAATTTTTTAATACTTAAATTTGTAGAAATAGATTAGAGCCAAAACGAAAAAAAAATTATACACCAAACTGAACACAAACGAAGTGTGCATACCATAGCGGAAAATTAGTATATAAAGGAAACATTGATACATTTTTAAAAAGTTAATTATTACAGATCTAATTAATTCACATTTTGTGTCAAAGTGCATTGTGATTAAGTCTTGACCTGCGAAAACTTGTGAAACACGTCGGTCCCGTAGAAGAGAAATCATTTGATAAATCGGAAATTGCGCCAGAGACTACTTCCGATCACCGAAAATCTCTCAAAATTCGGTAAAATCAAGATAATAAGATCTTATAGCTTACTGAACTGTTACTTATGTTATCGGTGTTTTAGAAAACGAAAATAGAGTAAAGTACCACTTCCGGACATTGTAGATCAATCAAAATTCGAGAGTCATTGAAGCATAAGATCTTATATATGAAAATTCGTCAACCTAACTGAATTCATCGTACCTACGGAAGGATTGAAAAACTATTTATGTAAAGCGTCAAGATTTTCATTTAGATTTTCGCACAATTACAATACATCCTTTAAATTCCGTATACGATAAAGTAAGGCAATGTTAAATGTTAAATGTCGACAACTGTCAACGTATCTGTTAATTATTCAGCACTATTAAAATACTTCCTTTATATTCTGTATACAAGAAAGTAAAAACTACACATCATACTTATTCTATTGGCTGTTAATGTAAGTACTTTGACTTGATTGTATTTGGGAGATCACTCCCGCTTTTATTTTAAAATAATTTCTTAGTTAAGTTTCCCTTTCGGACCTGGCGATCCATAGGTCAAATGAAACAGAGTTCCCCTATTTCTTAACCACGGCATCTAAATCAGCATACCAGCACTATGCCCAGCCGCCCTTACTTTCCCCTAACGTGAGTCACTTACCCGTTATAACCGGGTATTCAAGATCTGAACCCAAACCTTTGGGTTAGCAGTTGAACGCTCTACTACCAGACCACGCCATCCCACTACTGTAATGTAACCCAGCAACAGTATTCACGAAAACGACCACCATCAATCCCACAAGACATTTCTCATACGTTGCGTAACGCTCAACAAACGTGTCCTCCGTGTTGAGCTTTGAAATATTTTTTTTTTCCTTTCACGTCTGCTTCAAGACGTCACTTTCTCACCTTCCCCTCAACACCCACTCTCCTTGAGTATTTTCCATTCAATTATACAAACACAACAAATCCTGGTTCGGCGTGCAGACTTTGTTGGAAAAAAAAAATACGCCAATAAAAATAATCTAATAGAAATGCTCACGGCTCACGGCATTAAATTTTCTATTGTGGGAGTTTTAAGAAATAGACAGGGAAGAAAACACTAGCATTATGTGTGTAGTGATGGGTATGTGGTGTGTATGTGGTGGCATGTATGTGATACTATGGATGTAGCATTATGTAAGTAGTATTATGTATGTAGTGATGTGTATGTGCTGTTATGTATGAGGTACTATGTAGGTGGTACTAGGGATGTAGCATTATGTATGTAGCGATTATTTTGTAGCGCTAAGTATGTTTTACTATATTAGTAGCGCTACGTATGTACCATTACGTATATAGCTATAATTGCGTAGTGCTATGTATGTAGCACTGTGTATGTGGTGCTATGCACCAAATGTACAGTCCTAAGTATAAAGTGCTATGTAGCACTTAGTATGTAGCACAATGCCTGTGGCGCCAAGTACTTAGCACTACTATATAGCAATATTTATATAGCCCTAAGTATATAAAGCTATAAGCGTAATGCTCAGCACTACTATATAGCCATACTTCTATAGCCGTATGTATATAAAGCCACTGGTTTAGCACTATGGATAAGGCGTTCTGCATTCATAAAACTCTGTTCTTGTAGAGCTAGGAAATTTAAATCAGTACTCGGCTAATATACAAAGACGTTTATTCAAACTTTTCTGAAGAAGAAACAGTAACTTACTTGTTTATAGTATGGATTGGATGAATCGAATAGGAAGAGCGAACCAGAAAGCCTCGAATTCGATTCACGCGCTTTAGTCTGTATGATGGTCTCAGAAGGCATCTAGCGTATGACGGGTGTCTGGTTCTAGTCGGGAAAGATTTGACCTAGTGTTCACCACACTAGACTAACTATGAAGATTCATGCCGTCAACTCTAACCTATCTTTTGTCAAAAAAAAACAGCAACAAACTAACAAAAACAAACAAACAAAAACAACAACAACAACGAAAATAATAAAAAAAAAAACAAAAAACAACCCACCAATTTCAAGTGGCCGATCGGGAGGTCGGCGTGGTTGCTAAACCGAAAAGACCCGTGTTCGAACCCCCCTGGCACATGAGGCTCGATAGCTGGGGTCAGCAGCTCAACTAGGAAAGAATTGCTTTCAACACTAGAATTTAGAACGAAAAAGGAAGAAGAAACGGCTGGTCGGTTGTAAAAACGAACCTATGTTTCTTACTTAGTGTTTTTTTTGGTGTGAAGAACCCTCAAAAGCTTCAGTCTAATTCAGCTAATCCGTATAGCGTACGTGCTTAAGACGCGAATTCTAGAAAGTGAGTGAAAAAAATAACGCTGTGATTATTCGGCTCAACAAATTTCCAATTTTTTTTTTAAAAAACATGGCTAATAGGGTAATTAAAGTAGTCATAAAACTTTTAGAAACTGTGGTCTAAAGGGTCCGATAAAGAAGTCATGTGACTTGCGTCTTGTGTGTGAGTGGTCAGTATCCTGTCCAGCCGCGTTTACTTCCCCTTATTTAACTCAGTTGCCCATCAGAGCTGGCTGGATACTGTGTTAACACGTTAATGAGGTCAAGTCAGTTACCGGACCATGTGGCAAGTGTTGTATCTATACTTGGCTTCTCGACTGAAAGAAATCTGGCCAGAGTAAATGAACCGACCTCCTTTTTATGGCTTTTGTTTGTGTATGGATGCAAAAGGCATTAATCATGTGGAATAAAACCATTAAGTCACGGGGTAGGAGAGTACGGCCTATTTATTAACCCTCGTTAACTCCAGCCTTTATGTTTGTTTGTTTGTGGGTTTGTTAACAATTTTTTTCTTCCATGTTTGTGTTTGTGTTTTTTATGTATAGGTTTAAGTGTATGTGTTTTTGTGCAGGTTTGTGTGTGTGTGTTTTGTATGTATGATAGCTTGCTGTTTGTATTTGTGATTTTGTGTCGGTCTGTTATTGAGTTTGTGCGTAGGTTTGTGTGTGTGTGTGTGTGTTTTGCATGTTTACTTTTTGGTGTGTTTTTGTACATGCGAGTGTGTGTTTGATTTTTGTGTGAACGTGTTTGATTATGTGTGTGAGTGTGTGTTAGTTTGAATGTGTGATTGTTTGTGTGTGTATTTCTATGTTTGATTATATGTATGTGTGTTTATATGGCTGACTGTGTTTGTATGCTTAATCGCTTGATCGTTTACTTTTTGGTGTTTTTTTTGGCTTTTGTATATTTGATTGTTTATGTGTGTATGTTTGTATGTTGACTGTTTGGCTTTGTCTATGTGCATGTATGTTTGGCTGTGTATAGGTATGTATGTGATTTTGCCTGTTTGCATGTATGTATGTATGTTTGTCTGTCTGTGTCTATATATGTATGGCTGTGTGTGTGTATGCATGGCTGTACATTTGTATGTTTGTCTGTCTGTGTCTATGTATGTATGTATGGATGTGTGTATGTATGTATGGCTGTATATTTGTATGTTTGTATGTTTGTATGTTTGTCTGTCTGTGTCTATGTATGTATGGCTGTGTATATGTATGCATGGCTGTATATTTGTATATTTGTATGTTTGCATGTTTGTAACCACAACCTCACGGTACCCATCGATTAACCAGACCGACTCAGCGACAACGACACTTGCAGTACACTCCATTCCACTACACCTTAACCTTAATCCCAACGGAATAAATAGGTACGGCTAATCAATAC